GGGTCGACGCGCGAATCTCGGGGTCGCGCCTCCGCGCGGAGGCTCCGAGCGGCCCAGGGCAGTCGGCGCGCGCCCCCGTCAATCCTTGTGCCGCGAGGCGCCCGGGCCGCCCAGCGCGTCGCTCAGGAGCGCCTGCTTGATGGACGTGGGCGGCCAGGCGACCTGTTCGCCGTCGACGGGCCCGCCGCCGCTGGCGTCGCCGGCCGCGCCTGACAGGAGCGCGCCGAGGGCGCCCTGCCCTGGGACGAGATCTGGAGGAGGCGGGCCAACGCGCGCGCAGCGGTGGCGCGTGCGCTCCAGGGCCAAACGCTGGCCCCGATTGGGGCCGACGGCGGAGCCTGCGCGTCGGCGCCCTCGGCGGCCCGCTGTTCGGCGAGGGCGGCGCGGAGGCGGCGGCGGGCTACGCGGCGGCCTGCAGGTTCTCTGCGAAACTGGTTGGGCGGCTGCTCGAGCGCGGGCAGCGGGGGCAGGTCGCGTTGGCGGCCATCCTGGGGGCGGAGGCGCGCTGGCGGTCAAACCCTCGGCGGGGGCGCAGCCCAATGGGCGAACATGGGAGAGACAAGGATTACCCGAATCCCTGGCCTCCTCCCGTCGACCTGGCGCCCCCTGACCAGGTCACCGCGGAGCTGGGGAGGGGGCGCGGCCCAGCCGCCCGGGGGGGCCATCACCCCCAGTCCTCATGCGGGCTAGCTGCGGCTCCACCCCCTCGCCCCCCGGCGGCACGTCCGCCCTCGGGGGGTGGAGCGGCGGGGCGGGGGCGTCCTGGGGGGCAGACGCGCCCGGAATCGCGCAGACAGGCAGGCGAGCACGAAGGACCGGCATTTGCTCTCGCCGGGCCCGCGCCTCACGCCAAGGGACTCGCTTCCGCCGTCGAAGACGTCGTCCGCGAGGATCTCTGACTGAAGCGCGGCACCACGAAAAATCATCGCGCGCCGCTTGCCCAACAACTCGCAGTAGCGGGCCCGCGGGCTGTTTGTTGTCCGGGGCGCGCCCGATCGAGCCGTCGAGAGCAACGGCTCCCAGCCTGTAGGCGAGAGAGAAGTCTGCCTCAAAGATGACCTCGTCGTGCGTGTACACCACCATCAGGTACCACGAAACCCTGGCCAACGCCGCGCATTCGGTCCAGAATCTCAGGCCTTCCTCGAAACAGGCGAGCACGCGGTCACTGCGCCCAAGCGAGTCCAGCAACCGCACGTCGACTGCCGAATAACTTGGAAACACCCCATCCACGGACCAGACGCGTGGCGATCGCGTCGTTTTCGCCGTCGACGCCCCTCCGCCCTTGAGATCCCGCCGTCGGCAGGGCAGCCCGGTGGCGGCGCCCTTCGGCGCGAGCCCAGCGACGCGTCGTCGACGATCTTCCCCCGAAGCTCTTCGACGCGACTCGGGGCCTCCAGCTCGTGATGCCACCGGTCCGTGGGCGACGCCGGCAAACTCACCAGAGACAAAAGTACTATTACCACCAGCTAGGGTGGTGACTGTCCCACCGCTTCGAGCTGGTGGCACCTCGTTCAAGGCATGCCTCCATAGAGTGCCCTGAAGGAGGTGGCACGAGCTCGAGGGGAGGGAGCGGCCACTCCCCTAGCTGGTGGTAGTGGTACTTTTGTCTCTCCTGACAAACTCTTCATCGAGACCTCGATCGGGCGGACCTCCGCGCCGCCGTCGCGGGCCGCGCCCGCGCCGGCGCGCGGCCCGCCGCCGGCAGCCCCCGGGAGAAAAATATCCCGGCCACGGATGAACAGGCAGCCGAGGCCCGGAAGTCACCACGGGGCGCTCCGCCGGACTTGAGCGGATACGAGAAACGGGCGACGTCGGTACGGCGAGCCCTCGGGACGCGACGCGTCACACCAGCTTGTCAAGCGACACCATACACACATATATATATATATATATATATGTGTATATATATACACATATACAAGACTGCAGTGGCGCTTCGCGCCATGCACCTTGGTCCTTGAAGTTTGGTATGCAGGCGGAATGGCAACAAGGTCAAGCCGACAATTTAGCGATAACTCCTGGTTGCCTTTTCCGGCATCGCCGCTATCATGATGTTATTCGTTATCCTTCCTCCGTGCTTATTGCTCCTTATTTTTTAGCCATACCCTGCGCATTCTCCCCATCCCCTCAGCTTTTTTCTTCGGAGGCTCTTCCTTGGAGAACCTCTGGGGGCCTCACAAAAATTGTTTCGGGCTTTCTTACGGCCTTCTGGAAACCTCGTGGGCGTATTCTGGGGGCCTCCGGGGGCTTCCTCGGGCCACCCTGCCTCCAACCACCGTCCCCCTGAACGACCGAATCACGATTTGGAATTCTTCGGAGGGTGTCTTTGGGCCATCTTGGGCCGCCATGGGGCTCCCTGAGGGCCATCTTGGACCCGTGCTGTCGCGTTTTGGGGCTCTCTTGGTCTGCCTGGAAGCCCTTTCGGATGGTTGTGGGGCGATTTGGGAGCCTCCCAAGCGGCTTCGGACGCCCAGAAGACCGCCGTCTTGGAGCGTCGGGAAGCCGAAAAGAGAAGAACCTTATAATTCACCAAAAACCTATAGAAAATCAATGATTGTTGCCTCGGGGGGCCTTCTTGGGAGTGCTTTTGGAAGCCTCTGTGGGGCCGTCCTGGAGGCCTCCTGGGCCATCTTGAGGTCACGTCGGTCACTCTTTGAGCGCTCTTGTGCTGTCTTGGGGGTCTCTGGGACGTCTCTGATGACCCCCCTGATCGCCCTAAGTGTGCTGGGAAGGCTCGGCAAACCGCCTTGCGAGGCCCGGTGGCCGCTCCGAGGCCCGTCCGGAGGGCCCCAAAACCCCAGGGACCGGGAGTCCGGTTTTGGGGGGGGGTGACGGGTTCTCCCCCCGCCCGGGCTTCTAAAATATAGGAAGAGGAATGAATGTAGTATTTGCAGATGTGTGATCCGCGTGTCCTTACCATTCAAGGTATGTTCGTTTGCATGGCTCTTCGTCGTGGCTGTTTGTGGTGTTTGTTGTTGTATACTAGGTGTGTTGATTTATATGTGGGCCATGATGTGTGTTGTGGCATCGGTGCTGCATGTCTACTTATATGTACGCAGGCGGCGAATGAGGGTGGCTCAGGCGCTGGACATACAGGCGGTAAGGTTATGGCCATCATGCGCCAGGCATGCAATGGGATACTCCAGATTTCGTAATAAAAGGGAGGGGGTCTGGACCCTCCAAGACAAGCCATTTCAGACCTCCCCCTTGGGAGAACCCTCCAAAACATCGTCCCCAGACCCCCCAGGCCCTCCAAGATAGCCTGGAAGAGACCCCCCCGAAATGAGACCCCCCTCCCTTTATTACGAAATCTGGAGTACCATTACCTCCTCCGATGCACGACGCGCGCATGTTCATGATACTGCTCGTTGTGGATGTTCTGGTTCATGCGTGTTCCGAACATGTCTGCTTTGATTCTCGAAGACTTTTGGGGCCCCGCGGCCCCGGCCTACGGGCTCGGTCCTGCCGTCATTCGACCTGGGACGCGAGGCGGGGTGCCAAGGACCACCAGCGGGCTCCTTGGGGCCTGGCGACTGACCGAGGTATGCGGGGCGGGTGCACGGGTTGGGAGAATCGACCTTCAAAGCCAACATGCCGAACCCTGTCCGGCAAGGGCCAATGAGTTCATTCATATCACTATCAATAGTTAATTAAGAGGGGGGTCACCGCAAGAGGCGTGCACACCAAGGCACAGCCAAAAACTTACCGCTGCAACATGACTGTGTCGCCTAGAGCTCGGACGGGAGAGAGGAGGGTGGACATTGCTCAACATCGCCCCTCCCCCGCAAGACGCCCCGCGTACCAGGGCTCGAGCTAAACAATATTCTCCGTTTCGTTTCCCCTCGTTCTGTCATCGCTCCGCCCTTGCTGCAAACCGACTCGAAACGAAAACGGTCCACGAAATCGCCAACACACTGTTTAGCTCGAGATCTGCCCCGCACTCCATGTGAACGTTTTCTTATTCGGCGTTTCGGCATCGGGCGGAGGGGGGGAGGGGGGCTGGCTCCGGATCTCTGCTTAGTGCGACTGTCTGCAACAGCGCGCCCCACGGGGAAGCCTCAAACTGCGTAAAGAGAGGCGCCAAACACGGCCCAGATCGACTCCAAGAGGGGAGGGGGGGGGAGGGAGGGGCGAGGGCCCGCGCCGATCGGCAAAACAACGAGTGAGAAAACGCCGACCGTCCTGGCAAGCTGTTCGGGCCGCGTCCAGCCGCGGCGACGATCGCCCCCGCGACCTCGTAGGACCCCGGGAGGAGCCCGCCCCCGCGCCCTCAAAGGGGGGCTCCTGCTCGGGCGCCCCGCCCCTGCGCGAGCGAGGCCAGGGACCCCCCCTCCCCCCTGCATAGGGCGGGGGAGGGGGGGGATGGGGCGAGGGGAGGAGTGGGGTGAGAGGGACGAGGCGGGGGGAGAGGGACGGGGCGATGGGGTGGGTGGGGGAGGGGCGAGGGGAGGGTTGGGGGGTCGAGGGGAGGAGAGGGGATGGGGCGAGGGGAGGAGTGGGAAGGAGAGGGGTGGGGAGGGGCTGAGGGGCGAGGGGAGGAGTGCGAGGGAGGAGTGAGGGGGGCGTTCGGGATAAAAAATGAGGAAGGGGGAGGAGGAGCACGGAGCAGGAGGGCCAGCGCGGATGAAGCGAGGGGTCAAGGGAAGGGGCGGGGGGGGGGAGGGAGAGCGTCCGGGAGGGGACGCCAGAGCGTCAGCGAGGACCCGATGCATGACAAGACGGAAGGGAGACGGAGGAAGTCCGCGAAGGAAGGGGGGAGGCGAGGGGGGCGGCTGGGAACGGAAAGGGGAGGGGAGGAGCGGGAGATAGAGAGGGGGGGCGGGAGCGAGGAGGAACGGACGTGGAAGAAGGCGGGGGGGCGCAGCGTGGTGTGCAAGGCGATCGCCGGGTTGGAAAACTCGGGCTGCCCGCACTGCCACAGTTCCTTATGTCTTCCCCCCCCCCTTTCGTCGCGGCCGGCGCCGCGAGAGCCCCGCGTGCGAGCGCGGGCGCCGACTTTTTTCGGGCGAGGAGAGGGCCGAGCCGACTCGGGACCCCTGGCGGCGGATCGAGGTGGAGGAACTTCAGCGTGGGGGGGACACGGGCGCCGAGGGAAACGGCTCGGCGGCGACGATAGGGGCGCATAGCCCAAGGACATTGCACGTATTCGCCTGGGAGACCTTCTGAAGACATAGATATCGGCGCACCTGAATCCATGTACTGCTATCCCCTGGGCTATTCTTAAGTCGGGCCTGTCCCCCTACAGGCCGACGTTGGACGAAACATAACAATTAGACGAAAAATACCCTAAAACACTCAAACATTGTCAGACAATCGTCCCCAGACTATGTTTTGACTATTTTTGAATATTCCCCCTGTAGAGGGACAGACCCGACTTAAGAATGCATGTATTGCTCTCCCCTGGGCTATTCGCCCCTGTCGTCGCCTCTGGTCAGCGCGGGGGGACACGGGCGCCGAGGGGAACGGCCCTCCTGCGGCCATGGCCGGACCGCCCCTCGAAGAGGAGGAGGAGGAGGAGGAGGAGGAGGAGGGGGAGGAGGAGGAGGAGGAGGAGGAGGAGGAGGAGCGAGGAGGAGGAGGAGGAGGGAGGAGGAGGAGGGAGGAGGAGGAGGAGGAGGGAGGAGGGAGGAGGAGGGAGGAGGAGGAGGAGGAGGAGGAGGAGCGAGGAGGAGGAGCCGTGGGGCCTGCCCCCGTGACGAGCTGACAGGGGCCCAGGGACGCACACAGAGACACAGACACAGAGACACAGAGACACAGACAGACACAGGCACAGAGACACAGACACAGAGACACAGAGACCGAGACACAGAGACACAGACAGACACAGACAGACACAAACAGACACAGACAGACACAGACAGACACAGACAGACACAGACAGACACAGACAGACACAGACACACACAGACACACACACAGACACAGACACACAGACGCACACAGACTCACACAGACTCACACACACATAGAGACACACACACAGACATACACACACGAATCACAGGACTCCATATCTATATGTAGATATATACAAGACTGCAGTGGCGCTTCGCGCCATGCACCTTGGTCCTTGAAATTTGGTATGCAGGCGAAATAACAGGAAAGTCAAACCGACAATTTAGCGATAATTCCTTGTTGCCTTTTCCGGCATCGCCGCTATAATAATGTTATTCGTTATCCTTTCTCCATGCTTCTGTTTCCTTATTTTCGCCATACCCTGCGCACACTCCCCATCCTCCTCAGCTCTTTTTTGCGGAGGCTCCTCCTTGGAGAGTCTCTGGGGGCCTCACAAAAGTTGTTTCAGGCTTTCTGAAGACCGACCTTATGGAGGCCTCCTGGGCGTATTCTGGGGGCCTCTGGGGACATCCTCGGGCCACCCTGCCTCCCATCGCGGTCTCCCTGAACGACCGGGTCACGATTCGGACTGCTTCGGAAGGCGCCTTTGGGCCATCTTGGGCCGCCATAGGGCTCTCTGAGGGCCATCTTGGACCCGTGTTGTGCCGTTTTGGGGCTCTCTTGGACCGCCTGGAAGCCATCTCGGAAGGTTGTGGGGCGATTTTGTTGCCCCCCAGGCGGCTTCGAACGCCCAGAAGACCGCCGTCTTGGAGCGTCAGGAAGCCGAATAGAGGAGAACCGCAGACTTAACCAAAAACCCACAGAAAATCAATGATTTTTGCCTCGGGGGGCCTTCTTGGGAGTGCTCTTGGAGGCCCCTTTGGGGCTGTCCTGGAGGCCTCTTGGGCCATCTTGAGATCACGTCGGTCACTCTTGGAGCGTTCTTGTGCTGTCTTGGGGGTCTCTGGGACGTCTCCGATGACCCCCCTGATCGCCCTAAGTGTGCTGGGAAGGCTTGGCAAAACGCCTTGCGAGGCCCAGTGGCCGCTTCGAGGCCCGTCCGGAGGGCCCCAAAGCCCCAGGTCCCAGGAGTCCGGTTTGTTTCTTGGGGGGGGGATGGGTTTTCCCCCCGCCCAGTCTTGTAAACATATGAAAGAGGATTCGATATATCCACATACATATATATATATATATATACACAAGACTGCAGTGGCACCTTGGTCCTTGAAGTTTGGTATGCAGGCGGAATCGCAGGAAGGTCAAGCCGACAATTTAGCGATAACTCCTGGTTGCCTTTTCTGGCATCGCCGCTATAATAATGCTATTCGTTATCCTTCCTCCATGTTTCTGTTTCCTTATTTTCGCCATACCCTGCGCATTCTCCCCATCCTCCTCAGCTCTTTTTTGCGGAGGCTCCTCCTTGGAGAGCCTCTAGGGGCCTCACAAAAGTTGTTTCAGGCTTTCTTAAGGCCTTCTGGAAGTCTCCTGGGCGTATTCTGGGGGCCTCCGGGGGCTTCCTCGGGCCACCCTGCCTCCAACCGCGGTCTCCCTGAACGACCGAATCACGATTTAGAATTCTTCAGAAGGTGTCTTTGGGCCATCTTGGGCCGCCATGGGGCTCTCTGAGGGCCATCTTGGACCCGTGTTGTGCCGTTTTGGGGCTCTCTTGGACTGCCTGGAAACCCTTTCGGATGGTTGTGGGGCGGTTGTGGAGCCTCCCAGGCGGCTTCGGACGCCCAGAAGACCGCCGTCTTGGAGCGTCGGGAAGCCGAAAAGAGGAGAACCCTAAAATTCACCAACAACCAACAGAAAATCCATGATTTTTGCCTCGGGGGGCCTTCTTGGGAGTGCTCTTGGAGGCCCCTTTGGGGCCGTCCTGGAGGCCTCTTGGGCCATCTTGAGGTCACGTCGGTCACTCTTGGAGCGCTCTTGTGCTGTCTTGGGGGTCTCTGGGACGTCTCCGATGACCCCCCTGATCGCCCTAGGTATTCTGGGAAGGCTTGGCAAAGCGCCATGTGAGGCCCGGGGGCCGCTTCGAGGCCCGTCTGGAGGGTCTCAAAGCCCCAGATCCCGGGAATCCAGTTTTTTTTTGGGGGGGGGGATGGGTTTTCCCCCCGCCCGGGCTTATTAAAATATAGGAAGAGGAATATACACACTCAAATCGTGATACACATGTTCCCAGGACTCCCCATTTCCCACGACACGAATCCCAGGATCCCTCATCTTTTCCCATGATTTCCTCAATGTTCGTCTTCCCCCACTTCCCTTGTTTTCCCACCTTTCCCCGGGAATCGCCGATGAATCGTGTCTGCGTGTCTCTTCCCGAGTCGCTTCTTGGCAGGCCCGGGGCCCGCGGAGCGCCCCAAGAGCCCGCAGACGGCGAACGATCTCAGGGCCCCTTTCCCTTGCCGTCGCTCGGACGTCCCTTTCCCGTGCCTTTTCGGTTTCGTGCGTGTTTCTTTTGCTCGATGGTCCTGGGCCCCAGAGAAGCGAGTCATGGGGGAAACGAATCCGTGGCTGGGCGACGGCCAGACAAACAAGGGCAAGACGGCACGGCGGCGGAGCTGGCGGGGTCTCTGGGGCGGTTACGCTTACTCATTGGGAAGTTCAAACTGACGTGAATTAAATTACCCTACGAGAAGGTGCGCGTGCAATTCGAAGAACCCGACGACGGTTTCGGTCCTCGATGGTTCTCGCCACGAAAAATGTACACGTCCGAGCGATGCCAGGTTCCCTCAGGGATCCGCTTCCCCTCTTCCTCCTCCTCCTCCTCCAACTCCTCCGCCTCCTCCTCCTCCTCCTCCTCCTCCAACTCCTCCGCCTCCTCCTCCTCCGCGATCCAGCGGCCCTCGCCGCCGACCCTCCCTCGCCGGGCCGGTCCCGGGCCCAAGGTCCGGTGGATACGAGGTGTGCGGCAGGAGGGAGAGGGGTGCCCCCCCCCCATTCGCGCGCATGTGCTTCGCAGGGTCGGCTTTCGATCCGAGGGTGCTCCCGCTGCAGTGTGGGCCTCAGGATAGGATGGGGTGCTGGTGGGATTGGGTCTTGGACTCTGCGCCTTTCTGCAGGGAGCCCTCACGGCTGTGGTAGGTGAAGCCTGCAGGACTCCTGTCCTCCAAGACAGCCTTCCCTCATTAGAGGAAAAAGCTGTTTTAGTCATACATTTTCGACAATCCGCGCAGATTTCTCGGTTTCGCGCGAGAACCCCCCTCCCTGGCGCGCGGAGCGCGCCAAGGCTGGCGCCGGAGGCGTCGCCAGGGGCTCCAGCGCCGATCCGAGAAATCCGCGCGGAACTCCGAACGCTTCTATGTATGCAATCGTTTCTTCTTCGGTGTCCTTCAAGACCGCCTCTCTTCATGGTGATCCTGGGCTCAGTTGCTAGAAGTGCCCCTGGCCCATGATCCCCCCCAGGATTTCCAAGGAGGCACCCACGGCCTCCCGAGCACCACTTCACGAGGCCCAGAGGACCCCGAGCTAAAGGCTGGAGGAGCCTTGGGCCGAGGGGCGCCTTCTGGCATCCCCCGACCGATCCTTGGGGACATTGGAGACATCTTGGGCCAGCACGGCCGACTCGTCGTCGTCGTCGTCGTCGTCGTCGATCGCGTCGTCGTGTCGCCACCGACGTCGTCGTCCTCGTCGTCGTCGTCGTCGCCGTCGGTCTTGTCGATCTCGTCGATCTCGTCGTCGACCTCCACCTCCACCTCCACCTCTTCTCCTCTTCCTCCTCCTCCTCCTCCTCCTCCTCCTCCTCCTCCTCCTCCTTCTCCTCCTCCTCCCCCTCCTCTGGCCGAGGGGCACCGTCTGGCATCCCCCGACCGGTCCTTTTTCCTCGCCGACGGGCAATGGGACCACCGGCTCCGCCCGCCGGCTCCGCCGATGCCGCGGAAGGGGCCCGGGGCACGCCGCGCGGTCCGCGGGGAGCAGAAGGGGGCGGAGCCCGCTCCCCAGGCTGCGGGGGGGGGGATCGAGGGAGGGAGGACCACGCAAGGCAGACAAAGAGGAGGACGGGGAGGAGGAGGAGGAGGAGGAGGAGGAGGAGGAGGAGGAGGAGGAGGAGGAGGAGGAGGAGGAGCAGGAGGAGGAGGAGGAGGAGGAGGAGGAGGAGGAGGAGGAGGAGGAGGAGGAGGAGGAGGAGGAGGAGGAGGAGGAGGAGGAGGAGGAGGAGGAGGAGGAGGAGGAGGAGGAGGAGGGGGAGGGGGGGAGGGAGGAGGGTGAAGATGATGAGGATGAGGAGGAGGAGGAGGAGGAAGGAGGAGGAGGAGGAGGAGGAGGAGGAGGAGGTGTTCGAACGAACGAACGTGCTCTTGGATGCTGCCTCTGAGTGCAGGACGGGAAAATAGCATGGGAGTGACGGAAGGGACCGAACTTTCCCACACCAGCGAGCGCCGTTGGTGGGGGCACCATCTGTGGCCCTCGACCAGCCGAGGAGGAGGCGGAGGAGGAGGATTCCATCTCGGCTAAGATGCGCCCGCTCGGCTCTGCAACGACGCCCTCGCTTAGGACTTGAGCACCTGTGCGCCACTGGCGAGGCAGAGCCATGAGCCAGGAGGAGCAGGAAGAGGAGGACACAATCAGGGAGGAGGAGGAGGAGGGAGGAGGAGGAGGAGGACAACAGCGTGAGACAAGGAATCCCAAGGGAAAAAGGGCCAGGCTTAGCCCTTGTTTTCGGCATCTCAGGGGCTGGCATGCAACGACACAGGGAATCAAACTGGTCACCAGGAAATCCACAAGCAAGCGATGTTCTAGCAGACGGGACGCAGATGAAATCAACATGCTGGTATTGTCTTTGGGCGCCAAACAAACAAGATCAAGCCGCGTTCGGCGGGATCAGCCAAGACTCTGGCAAAGGAAGTACCAAGGCAGTTGCTGAATCCAACCTCCCAGCAGCTGCAGCCTGGCGAACGAGGAGGGGAAGAAGAGGAGGAGGAGGAGGAGGAGAAGGAGGACGAGGAGGAGGAGGACGAGGAGGAGGAGGCGGAGGAGGAAGAGAAGGAGGAGGAGGAGCAGGAGGAGGATATGTTAAGTTAGGACCGCCCCGAAGGGAAGAGACTCGCAAGTCTGAAACTGGGGTCAAGGCACCAATCAGAAATGGTCTTGGAGTGGGGGTAATCCGGCACACGTTAACATGGACTACGGATCGGGGAAAGTACCCGCGAACCATGAGGCCAATGCCGCCTGATTTGGCGACGGAGAGCGCGGATTGAGTGCGCAAATGGGACCCGTCGCTCATCCACGCGCAAACATGGAAGAATCTTCCATGTTTGCGCTCCCTCGAGAGGGGGGGGGGCAGGACGAGCGGGGGGAGGGGAGGAAGGGAAGAGGGTGAAGGGGAGGAGGGAGGAAGAAGGAGGAGGAGGAGGAGGCACTACCAACATGAACGACTGCGCTGAGAAAGGACACGGGAAAAGGTGAGACGAATGGAAACGAATAGTGCGCGCAACGCGACAAGGAAGAGAGCCAGGCGGCGCGATCGACCAGCATCGAGCGGGCTGCCAGGCGAGAAGAGCACATTCGAGCACTGCGCACGAGAAGTACAGATGCGAGGCTGCAACGCGCAGGACGCCAAAGCGCGGCGAAGGAGCTGCAGCGGCAGCTCCTGAGGAAGCACAAGTCATGGCAGAATCGCCGCTGGACCTAGTCCTGCGGAGGGCACGCCGAGGAAGGGGCAGGCCAAGGTCAGAGCCGTCGTCGCCCGACTCGGGGACGGTGCAACCTGCACCGAGCTCCTCGCCCGCACAGCGCGCAAAAGCGATAATCACAGTTGCCAAGGAGCTCCCAGGACTCAGCAGCGATCTCCCGGGAGTCGCTGGCGGCCCGCTCGCGCACGATGCCACCAGCACGGCGAGAGGGAACCTACAGGCCGTGCTCCGTGCCATCGATCACATCGGTGTTGCCTTGACCGAGCTCGCGGGCGCGCGCCGGCGCCGAAGGCTGCGTCGCGAGGCACACAACCGGCGTGTAGACGACCACCTTCGGCACGATCAGCGGCGCAGCACCAGCATCAACGTCGCGAGGTACACCAGCCACGAGTAGATGATCACCCTCGGCATCCGAGAACGAGAACGAGAAATATTCCCAACTGCTTCGGCACGGAACGCGCCAGCACCGCGGACTCCACCATCAGCTGGAACACCACGTAGGTCATGAGCGCAAGGCACACCACCAGCGGCTTCTTCCTGACCGTCCGCCGTACGAGCAACGGCTGCACCAGAAGAATAAGGCCAAGGAGAAGGCGAGGTACCGCTCGCCGACCTCGTATGCCCGCTCCCAGGGGCGAGAAATGCACAGGCCGAAAGCGAAGAACTCGGCGCCGTCCCCCCTCCAGCGACTCCACCGCATGGGATCGCCAGGGCCAGCGCCGCCTCAGCCTCCACCGGCATCCGCGGATGGACAAGGGGCACGCGCCACGGGGCAGTCCCAGCCTTCGCAGGGGAGGGGCTGCAGGAACCAGTCGAGCCTGCAGCCCTCCAGGCAGAAGCAGCAACCACAGCCTCGGTGCTAGCAGCGGCCTGACCACCAGTAGGAGGAGGAGGGGGAGGAGGGGGAGGGGGAGGAGGGGGAGGGGGAGGAGGAGGGGGAGGAGGAGGAGGAGGAGGAGGAGGAGGAGGAGGAGGAGGGAGGAGGAGGAGGAGGAGGAGGAACGGGGTCGCCTTGCTGCGCCAGGGCGTGAGGCCTGCGACGCCCTCAGCAGCGCGGTGGGCATCGACGGCCTGGCCAACCAATACCGCGCCCTCGGCGGCCGCCACCTTGCCCGCGAGGCCGTCGGAGCGCGGCGGCAACGGGCAGCGTATGCCGCAGGCAGCTGCCCGGGCACGGCGTGCCGCCACGCGGCGCGCGCGCGCGCCCGCCCTCGTGATGCCGAGGAGGAGGCCGCAGAGCCAGGCAGGCGGCACACTTCGGCACGCATGCTCACCAGGGCCCGCCCATCGGGACCCCGGCAGTGGGGGCCCGAGGGAGCGCCCGCGCGCACGCCCGCGCGCAAGGGAGCCCAAGCGGCCACCTTGAGCCAAAATGACTGCGGAGGAGGAGGAGGAGGAGGAGGAGGAGCAGCAGGAGGAGAAGGAGGAAGAGGTCAAGGAGAAGGAGGAGGAGGAAGAGGAGGAGGAGCAGGAGCAGGAGGACGAGGGGATGGGGAGGAGGAGGAGGAGGAGGACGAGACGGAAGAGGAGGAGGAGGAGCAGGAGGAGAAGGAGGGAGGGGCAAGAGGACGGTTGCGTTGAGCACGACCGCTGCACTGCATGCTCTTATTGTAGGCTGAAAGTATCAGAAAACAGTGTGACTCCAGTCTCGGTGGGGTGGAGTCCCCTGAATGTTCTTCTGTTCCGACTGGCCTGGTTGCACTTGCTCTTAACCCATTCAAGGATTGAAGCGAGGGCCCGTACACTGCTCGCTCAACTTGGCCAGACAAGCTCCAGACGAATATACACACGGCCGCGAGCGAGACAATGGAACAGTCAAACAAAAAAAACACTCGTGATAGAGGTCCTTCAAGGTCCCTCACGGGCCTGCTTGCAGTGTCCTGGAGGGGGCTCGACGTGGCCCTCGCTTGTGGAGGAACGCACATATTCCTCGCACAACCCAAAACGTTGGTATCCTGTCGGCGGTCTAATCCACAACCATTGGTGGGGCGGGGGAGGGGGGGCGAGAAACTTTGATATAATTCGGGTGCCAGGGGGAGGATGAAGTGGAAGAAGGGCGCAGGAGGACGTCGAAGAGGAAGACGAAGAGGAGGAGGAGGAGGAAGGGGAGGCATGAGAAGGAGGAGGAGGGGGAGGGGGAGGAGGGGGAGGGAGGAGAAGGGGGAGGAGGATGAAGAGGGATGATGATGAGGAGGAGGAGGAGGAAAAGGGAGGAGGGTGGCGTGCCCTTTCTGCTCCCCCGTCAACACCATCTGCCCGGCAGCCGCGGCGCGGCTCAGCGAGGAGGCGTCGCCGACCCCCTAGGCCTGCGCTGCGCGCGCCGCTTCGCGAGGGGCCGCGCGCGACGGCGGCGGGCAAGAGGAGGAGGAGGAGGAGGAGGAGGAGGAGGTTGAGGAGAAGGAGGAGGAGGAGGAGGAGGAGAGGTCGACGACGACGACGAGATCGGAGAGATCGACGAGATCGACGACGATGATGACGACGAAGGCGACGACGACGACGGCGACGACGGCGACGACGACGACGACGACGACGACGGCGACGGTGACGGCAACGACGACGACGACGAATCGGGCGTGCTGGCTCAAGGTGTCCTCACTGATTCGCGTGGGCCTCGTGAGGTTTGCTCTGGAGGTCGTTGGGCCTCCCGGGAAGTCCTGAGGGCGCCTGGGCCAAGGACACCTTTGGCAACACCTGGACGACGACGACGACGAGATCGACGGCGGGGGTGGGTGGGCGGTGATGGCGTCGGCGGCGGCGACGACGTCGAGGATGCCATCCAGGCCAAACGACGAAGGAGGAGAGGGGAGATGGGAGGTCGATGAGGAGCAAGGTTTAAGTCGGGCCTGTCCCTCTACAGGGGCATTTTGGACGAAAAATAAAAAATGTCAAACAATACCCTAAAATAATCAAGAATGGTCAAACATCGTCCCCAGACTATTTTTTGACTATGTTTGAATCCTCCTGTAGAAGGACAGGCCCGACTTAAAGCAAGGTCGGTTTGCGAGCTTCGCTTTGTCCAGCCACCTCCAGGGGCCAAAGCCGCGCAAACGGCGGTGTTGCTTCACGGCGATGTTGTGAACCGAAAGTCTAGGAAATCACGAACCTCCTGTTTCTACATCTCTCATCTGCGAGGGTTTCGAACGAGTACGACACAGCGCATTTGGGGCATTTTGGGGAAGCACGAGCCACACGTTCCCACAGCACCGAAACCTACATCTCCCCGTTGCCTACAGCGCCGTCAGTGTGCCTACGGAGGGGGAGACGGGTAGGACAAGGGAGGAGGGATGACGAGGGATGCGTAGGGCAACGGATAGGGCCGAGGGGGGGGGAAGGGGGGCAGCTCTCTCCCGCGCCTCCTCTGCCTCTGCCTGACTCTGACTATAGGGAAGCAACGACTGGCATAAACAAAAAAACTCGGAGGTCCGCGCGGATTTCTTGGATCCGCGCTGGACCCCCCTCCCTGGCGCGGGGAGCGCGCCAGGGGCGGCGCCTGAGGCGCCACCAGGGGGGCCCAGCGCCGATCCGAGAGATCCGCCGCGGACCTCTGAGTTTTTATGTTCATGCTTATGTTTCGTTCCCAGGGGGGGGGGGGGGGGCAGCGCGATCCGAGAAATCCGCGCGGACCTCAGATTTTTATGTGTACTCCAGGTTTCGTAATAAAAGGGAGGGGGTCTGGACCCTCCAAGACAAGCCATTTCAGACCTCCCCCGTGGGAGAGCCCTCCAACACATCGTCCCCAGACCCCCCCAGGCCCTCCAAAGATAGCCTGGAAGAGAACCCCCCCCGAAATGAGACCCCCTCCCTTTCTTACGAAACCTGGAGTCTGTTTTTTTCATCCCCCTTCTCACCGCGCAGCGCGGCGCCCGCTCCTCCTCCTCCTCCTCCTCCTCCTCCTCCTCCTTGATTGGCCAAGCGCCGGCGAGCAGCGCAGCGGAGGGCGAGGCCGCGGCAGACGCCGGCGCGAGGCGCCGGGTCAAGGGAGCCGCCCGCTCTGCCTCGGCCCCCCCCCCCCCCCTACCTCGGCGGCGCGCAACGGGGGTACAGTGTGGGCGTTGACCTAAGGAACGCTAAAGAAGGAACGAGGCCCTCTTTTTTCCATACATTACCCTTCGATATCCTGTCGAAGACATAAGCTAACCCTCGCTTTCCATAAATTAACTCGCTCTGCCTCGGCCCCCCCCCAACTCGGCGGCGCGCAACGGGGGTACAGTGTGGGCGTTGACCTAAGGAACGCTAAAGAAGGAACGAGGCCCTCTTTTCCATAAATTAACCTTCGATGTCCTGTCGAAAACATACAGTCAGGCCCAAGACAGAAAAACATCCTTCAAAAACATGAGACTCTCCGCCGGCCAAAACACACAGAACATCCAGGGGTTATCCTCCCCAGGATACACGAAAACATCCAACAATCACGAAGAACATTAGGGGTACCCTCCCCGATCCGACCTCGATCTTCTACCTCGGTCCGGCTGTAAGGAAAACGTGAGGCAAGCTGTGAAACACTTAAGGAACGCGGAGCCCCTCCCCAACGAAAAAGGTTCCTTCTTCAGGGCCCCGACTGTAGGGGATACGGCAGATTCGCGTCGTGTCGACCCTGGCATTGGTTCCTGACACCGCGGAGATCGCTCAAACTTGCACGGTCGGACGTTCCGTGAACGCCGGACTGTTCAACGACGGGCCCATTCTGGGCCACAGGCGGTCACCGCTGGTCGGCACGACGCGAACCTGCCGTGGGGGGAGGGGGGAAGGCTTCTCAGCAGGAGGCTGCTTCTCAAAAGGCGCCAGCCTTACATCCATCGAGAAGGCCCGTGCCTTCTAAGAGGCAAGGGTGCTTCTAAGAAGCCGTCCCCTCTCCGCCTACCCCCCTCTGCGCATGGCCGACCTCCTCTCTCCCCCTCGCCCCTGCTCTCTCCTGAGGTATATCCCTCGGTCTCAGTTGCTCCGGGCGGCCACCCAATGCGACAGAGCACCCACAAGCACTTCCAAAGCCTCGATCCTCGAGCCTCCTCCTCCTCGTCGTCGTCCTCCTCCTCCTCCCAATGATCGCCCTGCCCTTGAGCTTCAACCACGGTGGGCGCTTGCGACCGCCGTGTTCTCCAGGGTGGCATCCTGAAGCCATATCACAACAAGTGCTCCTTCTCCTCCCCCATCGCCTCGTCTACAAAAAATCGACCCCCTAGACCTCGCAAAGCGCACGTTTGGCCCAGATTTCGAGGCGGATCCAGACACGGCCACGAGACGAGCACCAAAAAAGACTCATGGACAGCCAAACAACTGGATCCTCGAAATGTGACCCTCGATCTGCGAAGTTCGATCCCGGTGCCCGCTGCGTGGGCCTCCTGCTTGAGCTTGGCGATCTTCTCGGCAGTGTCGTCGAGCTCCTGTTCGGGCCCAAGGGTGATGGGCCTGTTTTCCGCCACCACTTCCATACGTTGGAGGGGGAAGGAAGTGCAGAAGGAAACGGAGGAGGAGGAGGTGGAGGAGGGGGAGGAGGAGAGGAGGGGGGACGGAGGATGAGGAGGAGGAGGAGGAGGAGGAGGAGGAGGAAAA